TCTTTTTTCAAAAATCCAAAACTTGGGGATATTTTTTAAAATTGTCTGTCATCATTGTTACCTTTAACATTTCATACTGGAAATTTTTCAACTGATGTAAACTTTTTCTATGTTGTTATTATAAGCGCAGAATTGGTACTGTTATTCGAAAACAGTAGCTGAGGCGGAGGCTTTGGAATTTGCAAAGAACAACGAGCTTGATCTTGTTACTGTGTGCCCGACAGCAGTCTGGGGGCCTATGCTGCAGCATACTCCGAATGCAAGCACTTTGATTCTCATAAAGCTGTTGAGAGGTACTCAATTATTTCCACACCTAATTGTTAGTTTGACAAAATCTCCCAGTTTTGCAAACACCTGGAAGGAGAGGCCCTTAAATATTGAGAACTTTTGTGTATTTGATTGTTTGTTTATCAAATTTGCAAACGCTGCCAAATTAGTGAAGTTATTTATTTCAGAATTTTATAATCGTGACATTCTAGATTATTAGTGTGGAGCGTGGGTTGGATAGTGGGGTCTTTCATTAAGTTGAATGAATACAAAATAAACTATTGTTAACTTTCAGAAGGATTTGAGGAGGTGGAAGACAAGATGATGAACATAGTAGACGTACGTGACGTAGCTGAAGCTTTGAAGTTGGTGTACGAACACCGTGAAGCCAAAGGTAGGTATATATGCACGGCCCACACAATCAAAACTCAGGATCTGGTGGGAAATCTCAAGCAACTCTATCCACACTATAATTATCCCAAGAGGTATTCATTCTTCCCTGAGCTTGATTATGTCCAGCTGACTTCTTTATTAATTTAATTATTTTCTCCTTATGCAGCTTCAAAGAAGGTAAAAACTTGCTGAAACTGAGTTCAGAGAAATTGCAGGGGCTTGGTTGGAAGTATAGGCCATTGACAGAGACTCTTGTCGATTCTGTTGAGATGTACAAGGAGGCTGGCCTTATTCATTCCTCGTGACTTGCTTCACAAGCATTCTAAATTTTATGTTGTGGCTTAAAATGTTTACGAATAAAACAATAAATTTTAGTGGAAGATGTGTTTTATTGGAGAAATGACTATACCGGGCTTTGATGAGCATGCATGAACAACTTAGCAGGTGTTCGTTTGATGATGTGTTTTTAAAGAGCTACTTACTGTCATGTAAAGTTGATTAAGAACTCTTAGAGTTAAGAGACCTAGGGGTGCATGTAATCCTTGTATGCCTCCTTTGGTTTGTCATCGTATTGAATCCACTAAATTGTTGTGCATTGTTCTATACGATTTAGTTTTCTCGGCAAGTTCTCCCTCAATCTAGCGTGATGCTTTGATCCTAGGCTTAAAGGACTCATTTCCCATCTATTTTCAGCCTGAAAAGTGAATTTCAACTTCCCAACAAAGACTGAGGGGTCTACTTTCTTTGATTACATATATGATCAGGGCCAGTGGCTTGTACAATTGGTAATATAATATTAGTGTTGCTTGCTGCCGCCTACTGGCTACGAGATCTTGGGGAAAGCACTCTTGTGCTTTATCATTTGTCTTGCTCATAAGTTTTGTTCCTTCAGTCTTGTTCTTGATTAGGTATAAGTTTTGTTCCTTTTGTTCTTGATTAATCTATTCAGTATTGCCATAATTAGTACAACACCAATTTTCTATATACCCATCTATCTATACATATATAAAGAGTGAACCTATTTGTTAAAAATAGTAAGAAGAAAAACTAACCTGCATTTATTGCATTATATTTTTGGTAGTTTTTAATTTTCTTTTTAAATTATTCCCAAAATATCGAGCAGCTATATATGCGCCATAAATTTATGGGTTTTGTAGATTTGATCTAGATAATTTCGGCTGATTCTTATAATTTTGCAAACTTCAAATTTTTTTCTCATTTTTTAATAATAATAAAAAAAACTGATTACCATAAAATCAAGAATTTCAAATTAGGTAAAATACTATCGCATGTATCTTTTTCTAATTGCAACAGATCAATTGTTTATTAAAAAAATCAGATTGCATAGAAATCAGGTTAATTTAGGTAAAATTTGGCTTGATAATCTTGTAGAGGTCATAATTCTCTCTTTAAAAAAAAATAAAAAAATTGATTACCATAAATCGAGAATTTTAAATTAGGAAAAAATATGTTGTATCTTTACTTAATTGCAACAGATCATGACTATTAAAAATAATCGAATTGTATATAAATCGGCCCAATTTCAAATTGATAAGTAAAATTTAAATACCCATATCATTTTGGCTACTAATTTTTTTAGTTAGGAATTTTTTTAAACATATAACAGATTTAGATAATATTAATTTGAAATTCAAAATAAAATCGAATTGGAACATTCTAAAAATTTGGGTTTTGTTTAATCCTATAGAATAAAAATTTGAAATTGATTGTATACACGTACATAATTTTTTTCCTTCCTTAGTAATTTACAATTTTAATTAATAAGGCTATATATTATCAAGAGATACGTTTTACAATCTCCGTTATATTTGACTATGAAATCTTCATAAAACCAGTATAAATTAAATCATATATATCCTGCTAAATAATTTAATTGCAATATTTAAGCCTATTTAGAATCCTAATATATATAGGTGTCAAATGTTTATTTTCTTAGATACGGTTTACACAGAGGTACGTTGTTTTCTGTTTAATAATATATAAGTTACATTTTTTTTTATTCCAATTAGGGCTGCAAACGAGTCGAGCGGCTCACGAGCCGCTCGCGAGCACTCGAGTCAAAGCTCGACTCGAGCTCGAGCTTGACCTAACTCGAGTCGGCTCGAGCACGAACTCGAGTCAAGCTCGAGCCCATATTTTGCCTTGTCGAGCGGTTCGTCGAGCGGCTCGAGATACAGTTAAATTACTAAAATAGTCCTTATTATATATATTAGCATAGGTACAATCTTCATAAAACCAGTATATACGTTTTACAATCTCCGTTATATTTGACTATGCAATCTTCATAAAACCAGTATAAATCAAATCATATATATCCTGCTGTAGACATCGAAATTTTAACATTTTATTAATTAATGTCTTTATTTATTTTTAGATTAGATATAAATCTAAGATAAATAAGATATTTAATTAATAAAGTACTTGTTTCTTGCCCACCAAGTCAAATCTTGGG